AGGAGGAGGAGCCCCTAGATGAAGAAGAAAATGCATTCGTAAAAAAATGTATACGTCATTATGCAAGTCAAATTGAGGTGAAGGATATTTGGCAATCAGCTAGAGATTTGTTGCATGTTTTGTGGTCTGGTGGATTTGATGAGCATAGATACGCGAGGTATTATTTGCGTGCAGAAGTATTGCTGCCTTTCTGTCTGAGAAGTCAGGTTGGATTAAAACTGTATGGCTCTCAAGATCACACGCACCGCAAACTCAAAGAAGCAGCATTATGCTGTGGGAGGGCTTCCATTAGAGAGCTTCCTGACGGACCAGAAAGCTGCACCGGAACTTCCCGTGTCACTTCTATACGTAAACTTGCTTCCAACATATTATCATTGTTCATTTATAAAACGGTGGAGCGGAACTGGCGCAGCGTGGATCAGGGAGAGCATGATGATGAGGAGGAGGAGGAGGAGCTAGCGGTTCCGCCCTATGATTTTTGGGCCATCATGGACGCGTTTTGGAATCAGTTTTGTGCCACATTTCCAGAGGCGGCTGAGGAGGATGATGATCACATTCAAGGGAGGATGTTAGTAAGTCCTTACGATCAAATATTCAGGACGTTAGGCCTACACCCACTTGAAGTCTACCTCAAGTTCGCGAGCAAATTGTCCGGGGTGTATACCACCAATAGCACACATGCTGATCTCACAATTCCTCCATAAACGCGTCCGCTATACGGATTATACGTAGGACCTCTATGCGGGGGCAAATCCTACGTCCGCGGAGGGTTCCTAGACGCTTTGGGGAGGTAAAGTAACGTTTTTGGGCTTCGGGCGGCGCCCCCCGGCGAAATCGATCACTTTACCTTTCTGAAACCCCCGGCGACAGTCTGCGGACGAAAAATACCACAGCCGAGTGAGAGCATGGCGCTACCATCTCAGCGCGCTGCGCGCGGTGGACTTGCTGCGCTGCGCGCCTGACCTGACACCTGTTCGCGAGGGTCATTTCTCCGCTCTGGCCAGCGACGAAGTCGAAATTTTCTCCCGCGCTGCGCGCGGGGCGGGTGCGGCGACTCTGTGGCAGCGGCGTCTGCGGCGGCGGCGGCTGCGCGGAGCGGCCTCATTCTCCGGCGAGGGCGCGATCGCTTGCACGCCGTGCGCGAGCGACACATGCAGCTGCGCCAGTTCTGCACCGCTACGCGCGCTGGATCCCGCCGATTTTTTTCTCCCGCGCTTCGCGCGGCAAGGAGGCGCTCCAGACCAAAACCGGTGCCTGGGCGCTGCGCATGGAGGTGGTCTAGAACATGTCCGAGGAAGCCATGGACTTGCTCTCCGCTATAATCTCCACGCGCGCGCGCGCGCGCGACGACGACGACGACGACGACGACGACGACGACGGCCGGCCGGCCGGCCGGCCGACCGACCGGGGCCGGGGCCGACGGCGCAAATGGCGTCCGTCGACGCCTCTGGCTTCGGCTCTGCGTCCCCGGGGTAAGACCAGGCGTCCCTGGCGTCGTAGCGACCGTAAATGTACTTTTCCGGATTTCCGACGATGTTGCTTCTGTTTATGGGAGCTGGACCCTGCCGAGGCTTCCAAGGGGGATGATGATGCCGAGGCTTCCGAGGGGGATGATGGTGCTGCTCCCGCGGAAGATGGTGCTGCTCCCGCGGAAGATGGTGATCATGCTGCGGAAGAGGATGATGAGGATGATGATGCTATGAATGCAAGGCAAGCGCAATGTAAACGAAAAGCTGCAGCGAAAAGGAGCAACAAAAAACATCAGCATCAGCAAAAAACAATAAATGCTGAGGATGATGCAAAGTTCAGCTCCCTTGGGATCAAAGCAGCGGATCTGAAAGACCTACAAGATGTAGTTTTAGGTACTACCGCGATGGCCCGCATGGAGGTGGATCTGAAGGTGCATGGACACTTCGAGAAGCGGCGCCTACTCTGTCACAGTAAAAAAAGCGACAACGTAATGTACTTCTGGTGCTACTGCCAAGGGCCCTATTTGACTGATGTACAGTTTCAAGCAAAAGAGGAAAAACGCCGACTAAACGAGACACCGCACAATGACCCAGCAGGAGAGCAGGTGGCGCATGATGAAGAGACCAAGCGAATCACAAAGTATGGTTGTGAATCACAATGTTGTTCCATCATTTTCAAGTATGACTCAAAAGCACGGGATTGGAAGTGCTCACAATGCACTGACCAGCAAACCAATTCTCGCATCAAATGACCATAGGCACTATGAAATAT